CCTAGATTTAAAGCACATGCCACTTCATCAGCCGCTTCAAGTATTTTGCTGTTTCAATATTAGCATATCATCCCACAAGAGATCCCAAATTCTGAATCCCACATAAGTAGGGACTTTGGCATCACCGGTCTCGTTGACTTTTTTAGAGTATAACTCACTCATCCAATGATTCCTATTTACTAGAATCCATAATTTGGGATTCAAAGTATTACCATTCCACACTGGAGAGCGTCCACAAATTCTGTTAATGGAATTTCAGTGCATGGCCCTTAGCATGACTACCATATATTATTCCACAATAATTGCCTCAAATAAGAACAAAAAGAATTTCTTGAAGGTACAACATATTTTTGCCCTGATATGAGTGCAAGTTCATTACCATCAGTAACTAAATTAAGGTTAATTTTGATATAAATTTGAATTATAATAACGTTGATGCAATATTTTAGAAGCCCTTCATTGGGTTATTCAATCCTGCAGTGCCTATCAAGAGCATATAAAGCTGATTCAGACTCTAAATTTCCTCATCACCAAAGCCAACTGCATAGTGGCCAGTGTTCTTATCCTGTTCGTGAACAAAGCAATCAACATATCAAATGCTAGTTAACAGCAAACAATGACAGGTACCAGGGTATACAAGTTGAGAAAGCAACATTTACTTTGAGCCAAGACCTAAGGCTTGACAAACCAGTTACGGGCAATTTGAGCCCAGCCAATGTAAAGGTTACCAGTCACTCCAGTGCAAAGAGCATCCTAAATCCTAGCTGTCTAAGGGTGTCTAAATGTAGTAGAGGCAGAAGCATGACAAAGTTTGATCCTTGGTCTAAACCATCTTAATACTCCTACTCTTATTAGAATTTACAACTCAATATGCAACTAAACAGCAGGCAAAGGAAGAAGTGACCACTGACCACCATCTACTGAAAAGAAATTACCTGGGACAACATTCGCTGCTTGTTCAACAACTGGGTCCTTGCCTTATTAAGAACTGAGTTTGGTGACTTGTACATCCTCTGCATAAAAAGATTATTAATTACATTTACGTGTCTGTGTGAGAGGACGGGAAGAGGGGAGGAGGCGGCTTAGCAGAAGCTAGCAAGCAAAACCACGTGGAAGCTCATCTAAAGAAGTCTCAACCTGATATAAATACACAGAGAATGGCAAACACATACCCAAAGCAACTGGCCAACAACAAAGCATACAGAACCCAAAGAAGAATACTATCCATAAAGAGAGAATTAAGGTTCTTCGCTCACATTATCTTGAATATGCTTTCGGCGCTAATATTTATACTGATAAAGCACGAGAATAGAACTGCCATGTATATTCAGAAGCCCATCAAATAACTAAGCGACCTCACATTCAAAGTTGTATAAGCATGCCAAGACAAATCTCATTTGCTAAGTAAAAGCATATTCAACTGTGAGATGCAAACCAGCATTGTGTGCGTTACATGCACACTACCTTGAACCAAATTAAACTAAACAGCGATAGTAACTACATTAGTAGATCTCCACATATGAACAACATCTCGGTTAATGAATCCACCTGTAACAAGGGCAATGTCCTCATAGCACATCATGACACAAAAGAAATACATACAGATGTTTTAATGATGAAAATACCTATTTATCAGCACAACAAACTCTGCAACAGATTTATAGGTATGAACAATAAAAAGATTGCAGTGGGAATGGTGCAAACTAACCTTCTCAAGAGCAGATATATGATGCTCACTCCTCGAAAGAAGCTTCGTCTTTGGTGTGAAACCAAATACATTGTGAAGAAATTCATTTTCCTATTTGGATCCAAACAAAAAGAAAAGAGCAATTGAGATGGCGAGAACATACACCAAATGAACAAGGACCTTTTAGCCCAAAGAAGATATGGACAAGAAAAAGAACCTGCATGTGCTTAACATATCCGCCCCCAAGAAAGCGCTTCAGAAAGTTCAACTGTGAAGAAGCTGAGATTAGGAAAACATTGAATACGTGGGGGCATCCACAATAAAAAATCAAAAGGAAGAAGAGGAGGAACCTGTATCAATTGAGCCCACGTTGCTATGTTCAGGCACTCTCCACCAATCTTCGTTGAAGTTTCTGGACTATAGCCATCCTGTCGTTCATTTAAATAAGGATCAGTATACAAGCTAACATACAAGGACAGACCCTGTTCAGAAACTGATGAAGTACCTCAAGAGATTCCAGAATATCTCTAAATGAGTTCCGCTGGCTGTTAAGATCTTTCTTAGCAGAACCTTTACCACCTGCCTCCGCAGCAAGGTTTCTCACTTGATTTAGGATTTTTCCCCTCAACCCCCGGATATGTACAAATTCCCGATAATTGTTTCCTTCAGTAATGGAGATGTCACCAGATACTTTAACTTCACCACAGAACTTCTCCAAATTTCCGGTCTCAAAAATTAAAGCAAGGGCTTCACCAGCTGCAATGCGTACAGACCTGTCGTCCTTGTCTAGCAGAGTAGAAAAATAAGAAATGGACCTGGATCATTTGCACAAAGGGTAAGTAATTTTCTCACAGAATTTGCTAGGCACCCATTGTTGACCTTGCAATTAGGGGCAGAGCCAAGATTTTATCGTGGGGGGGCAAATAGTATCATAGTCCAAAAAATTTATTCAATGAGCTATCATTAGCGCCAAATTTTTTGTTGTATAGAAACTATGAAAATAACTTTCACAGGATTAATTATAGTATAAGTTAATTTTCAAAAAATCAAAACATTAATTGAAATATGTCAAATCAATGACATGCAAGATGATTTTAGATTCATTCATAAAAAATAAATTTTTTTAGTTTAATTTCATTATATAATCACTTGGTACAATTAAATTTTTTTAGGCCAATACAACGTGTGAAAATCCAAACAAAATGAGATAGAGTATTTACATATCTCTTAAATACATATTCTATACAATATTGATTCCTAGATATACGGTTTGGAGAAATTACACTTTGTTCTCTTAAATTATTATCCTGATTGAATCTTTTTCCTTCGATTATTAAATTGAAGTCGTTGCACCATAAACCATTCAAATTGCTAACTTTTTGCATGAACTTTTAAATTTTAATTTTGCTCAAATTATTACATTTTGGACTAATACAGTTCAGTAGACTATTTCGAATACTCAGGGGGTGCAATGTGTTTAAATGAATAGTTGAGTGGTAAAGCAAAACCAAGATCACAATTTAAGTATATAAAATATAACTTTGATAACTTGAGGGGCTATGTAAAGTGAAAAACAAGAATATAATTTTNTAGTTCGAGTCATGTCATCGTGTTCAGTCGAAAATTTTCACCCTTAGTTAAAATGGAAAAAATATTTTTTTTTAATTCAAAATTTTTATTTTTATTTTTAAATTTTTTTAATATATATATATATATATATATATATATATATATATAT